AGTTTCAGTACATGCAGGTAAGCTGATGCTTATGATCACTATGTCGATAATATTAGCCTGTGTTTTATGACAGTTGAGATCTACAGATAAGCTGATATCCTCTTGAGCTATTCTCTTCAACTTTTGTAAACATGCAACCATTGCCTGTGATAATGAGAAAGCAGACTACTACGAGATCTAACTACTGAGCAGTTAACACACTCAACATTAGCTCAGTGTGCCTTCATGCAGTCAAGAGACAAGTTATTTTAAAGTGCTATCATGGCTGTACCCCCCAGTTCAACATAAATGGCAAAGTGGACCATTGTCTGGGAATTCCAGTCTTTGTTTTTTACTTTATCACTGTTATTTTCTAATTATTATTATTCATTCTGCATGACTTATAGAATTATTATATTTTTAATCTTTATTATCATTATTCAGCTAATTATTATTATTATTTATTCATTCCATCAATCATTCACAGTCGTAGTCTCTTAAAATTTTACTATTAGCTATTGTTACTCATTCATCATTTTTGTTTATTGATTTAATCTCATTGTATTTCCCAATTTCAGTGTACTATATGCTTCGGTTTTATAATTGCAAAATCTAATTAAAGTGAGATGAATGTATAAGAAATATAAATCATGTGAATAAAATTCACTTGATAAGGGATCTATAGCAGTTTAAATAAATTTGTACTGTAAATGGGAAATGTATGTATGAACTAACTTGAAAATTAATGACTTTTAATAATATCAAATAATTTTTTAATTGGAATGGAGTACATTTTATAAAGCTATAAAACTTCCATACACCCGCAATGCCATTATAAAATAGTATGCATTAATGTTATAATGAAGATTGTATTTCTCCCCTTATCAGTGGTGATTCATAACCAGAAACATTTCACAGTCTGCACTACCTTGTGTATGACTATAGCTGTCTACATAAAAATTCAGAGCATTAATGTGTTGCAATAGAGACAGTTATACTTTCATTTCTCGTGGTAAAATAAAAATTCTTTTGTTATTCTTATTCAATCAAAGTTTGAAATATTCAGTTCATATATCAGCTGCTGCAGCAGTTTGCTATTGTGTTAAAGCTATAATATCACTGTGTCATTAAAAACTTATGAATTTATTATAATTATTTCTTAAAGGATCCATTATAAGATGTTATTGTTCTGAATCACATTCACACATAAATCTTGAAGTTATGGTCAGCTCAAGTAGATACTGTATATAAAAAAGAAACTGTAATCACCCCACCAAAATGCTTCATAGTCTTAATGAAACAATAATCAGCTTATATAGATCTAACTGTCATGAAAATTACTAGCAACTACGTTACTATGAAGTTTTATAGTCTAATTGAAACTATTATATCAGCTCTAACTGTCAATAAAACTGACACTATAGTGAATGTAATCAACGAAAATAATATTATTGACATAGATCTAATGATCATAAACAGCCTACCTGTTCTGAAACTGCTAAAATGATGAAGTTTTTATCAAAAACTTAAATAGAACTAATAAAAATTCCCTCCTGATGCATAGATATCATTCTTTCAGACAGATCAGTCAAGTTTCAATAGAGATCCGCGAGCGTTCCGCGTTGATCCGCATTTCAGCCCGATCCGCATTTGATCCGCGTGGATCCGTATTTCAGGCAGGCCCCTTTTCTACAACCCTGTGCACGCCTATGACTAGGACGAAGGTAGATATTATTGTTGACTAAACTGTAGGATGACATCAGATAAGTTATTTTTCTTTATTTCTGCAATAAAGCATTGCAGTTGCTCATGTCATGTTCGAGTTCATGTTGGTTGACTTGGTTCCCTTAATCCCCTTGTGCATGTGATGCAGCTCTGATGTACTGTGTGATGTCATCAATGACCGCACCCCCTAACAGGAAGCAATGGCCACCAGCAACTTTAGCAAGCTCTAACTTTCCCAAAGCAAATGCAATGCAAGAATGCAACTAGGAATAGTATATTTGGGTATATTGTTTACAGTAAAAATAAGCAATAATCTTAATTTTCATTTTCGCGTGCAAATCTCCCTTTAAAAACAAAATTACTAGAGATATAGTACTGGGTAGATCTAGAACTATATAGCAAATATAAGTTCACTTAATTGACTCAGAACTGATCTAACCCATTTACTCTAAAATGATATGTACTCAAAAGCATCAAAGATTGATAATTATCCATAGAAAAATCATTATGACAATATAGATCTAATTATTAAGGGCAATCTAAGTTTAAATGTTTCATTTCTGAAACAGCATAGTCCTTGGAGCAAATTAATATCTTATTTTTATTTGTGATGCACAGAACAGTTTTTGTCCAGAGGTGAGAGTTTTGTTGACATTTTAAATGATGAACACTGAAGTTTGCATCTAAGATCAATTCTATGTTGCTCTTATTTTCTGTTGTATATACTGCACCATTGGAGCTAAAGGACTTTTTGGCAAAAAGAAATTCCTTGTAATAAGTAGTTTTTGTTAGTGATTTTGCTACTATAGGCAATAATTATGCCATAAATCAGGAAATTTTTTTGCAAAATTCTAATCACAGTAAATGGACGGTAGTAAACATGTGAGCATTATTAATAAATTAATAACATAATTAGAATTAATAAATTTAGTGGAAAAAAGTTCTGATCTGAAAGATGCATTTTAAGTGAGGGCTTATCGCTCAAAAGTCATGCTTGTTACATCTTTTTATGCTACAAATTTACTCTGATTTTAATTTTACATTATAAATCTAATAATAACTCTTAAAATTATGGGCTATTATTATTATTCTGTCATCGTTTTTTTGCTCCATAGTCAATACCTTTTTGTTATTGCTTGATGCTGTAATGTGTACAATGTTACAATAAGCAAATGACAGCAATATTGTCACATGCTATAGCTGCTTACGGGTAATTCAAAGTATATGCCACATGAGAAATTATTTGAAAAATTGTAGGGAGCACAAAAACTTACAAAAAACTAAACTAACTAAATCTAAAACTACAATTCAACTGTTATTGTTTGTAATGTCAACAAGGGTATGACCAGCACTTGAAAGTATCAGAAGTCCTCTCATGTGTCAATACCTACAAATTAAATCATTAGATCTATATACATGATCTATATGAAAGCACTCACTTCTTTGTATATATTAGTATAAGCAATGAGGACACAGCGACCCCAGTTCTGCATGCACTTGCTTTCCAACTGGCCCTCAGCATCAAGTGGACAGTTAACAGGACAAGAGAAAGCTTGAACAGGATAAGGGAGTGCTGTATATGAATAGTAGCAAGCCCAACAGTTAGAAATGAGGCAACCTCTAGGACATTTTACATTGCTACCGATGCTTTTATCATCACTATGAAATAAAGAATTTAACAAGCATAAAGTAGTGATTATATATGTAGCATCAATAAAACTTACATTGTACACACAGCTCCTCTTTTGGTGACACAATATTCCCGACTACAAGTTGGTGGCCATGCTGTATATTTGTTACTTGAATTAATTTTTATACTATAAATTTAAACTAACTTACCA